TCCCATGGGTGGTTGTAGATCCCATACGCATCCCGTGGGATGTACTGGACCCCACACTCATCCCGTGGACAGTATAGTAGACCCCATACCCATCCCCAAGCCTAAGCTAACCTAACCTAACCACTAAACCCTGCCTAACGTAACCTAACTCCCTAGTCCAGCCTAATATAACGATACATATATAGTTTTAAGATTTAGAAAACACACCATGTGTGGGAAGACTACATGAAGAGTCTTTAACTCATTCGTTGTCTCCCTCTGTTGCCCGCTGTGCAACCTGTTGCCCGCTGTGCAACCTGTTGCCACAATCGTCAGCTTTGAAATGGTTTTGCAAGTCTGGAGGTGATCTAACCTAGTCAGCCAACCTTACCAGTCACTGGTTGTTTTGGTGTCTTTAATTTGTCTTTAACATTGACTTTTGACTTTAAATTTCCGCCAGAATTTTAACATTGTGGTCGACTGGGTTAAAATTGTGGCGCATAAAGTGTGAGTAAAGGTTGTAAATTTATCGTTATTTATACTTATTCCACCAAAATACATATTCAATATCAATTTTGTGACCATAAATATTTCAAAGCTGCTGCGTTGTTCCTTATTACATATGTTTTACCGAAGGTGTTTATATATATATATATATATATATATATATATATATATATATATATATATATATATATATATATATATATATATATATATATGTCGTACCTAGTAGCCAGAACGCACTTCTCAGCCTACTATGCAAGGCCCGATTTGCCTAATAAGCCAAGTTTTCATGAATTAATTGTTTTTTCGGCTACCTAACCTACCTAACCTAACCTAACCTAACATTTTCGGCCACCTAACCTAACCTAACCTATTAAGATAGGTTAGGTTAGGTTAGGTAGGGTTGGTTAGGTTCGGTCATATATCTACGTTAATTTTAACTCCAATAAAAATAGATTGACCTCATACATAATGAAATGGGTAGCTTTATCATTTCATAAGAAAAAAATTAGAGAAAATATATTAATTCAGGAAAACTTGGCTATTAGGCAAATCGGGCCTTGCATAGTAGGCTGAGAAGGGCGTTCTGGCTACTAGGTACGACATATATATATATATATATATATATATATATATATATATATATATATATATATATATATATATATATATATATATATATATATATATATATATATATATATATAAGAAAATTATCAACACGAGTCATGCAATTTTTACTGCTTATTGCATATCAGGTTGAAAAGTTACTTTTTAACATCGACAGTGTTTGCAACATATTTTCCTCACAGATAAGGGAGTTGTTGTTAGAGTCTAAGATTAATATAAGACACTATTTGTAGTTTGAGGCCATCAACTGCCTAAAATGTTTACGTTTCGTTCTTACCAAATATATAGTGTTTAAATGAATGTCTTGAGTAATTTTCACTGATGGTTTTATGTCATAAATATGAATAAGTATTTGTATATGTTAAGAAAGTACCGATACTTTCAAAGTATCAGTACTTTCTTTTTTATCAAAGTATTGTACACTAAAAATTATTAGTGAGTGGTCGTGGATGACCATATCATGGTCCACCTTTGCCAAAAGGTACTCACATAACTGTTCTTGCGCGGGGGTTGAGCTTCGGTTCTTTGGTCCCGCTTTTCAACCGTCACTCAACTGATGTACAGGGTGGGATATGCTCGGTGCTCACAGGGTGCTCACACGATATATGTTCGGTGCTCACACGAAGCATTGGAATCCTAGAGCCCCCAGGTGTTGTCCCAGTGGACCTGAAGAGTCTCGTCTCCTTCCTCAGGGTAGTGGTGGTGGTGGTGGTGTCCCTGGAGGCGATGACCTGTGCTCTTGACTTTACTCACACTGATCGCTACCAAATTTGGGCTTCTGATCTGGTATGTAATGAAAACAACATCACTCAGGTATGTCACAGGAACTACACGAGCACCAGCTCAAAACGTGGAATAACAAAGCCAAAAAAGTAGTACAGACGGACTGAGATTTTTATAATGTACCGTACTTGAACAGGATGTTCGGTGTCTAAGCGACCACCTCATCTGGAGGAACTTGTATAGATTTTACAACAAATATTGTAAAGGTAGTTTCGCCTGTGATTGCTTGATCAATAAAACTGCTCTTAGTGCGTATGTACGTCGTTTCTAGCACTTATTGCTCTCTTTAACTAAATTATCAACAACAATAACTTGCATCGGGATTCAATCCACAGAGTCCAACTGGTTTGATAAATAATTTCGACTCTCTGTGCCTATGTTAATATAATTTGCGAGTCAATCAAATAGTGAGCGCTTATGGTGTCGCTTGTCAGACATCATCAGCTAATGTCCTGATAATTTTTATCTCAGTTATCATAAAGTAGTAATAATCTTCTTGATCCAAAGCGCATTGCACAAGTATTTTTGAAGTCCAAGAGAAGAATTAATGCTGTCAAAAAAAAAAAAATCATCCATTCTTTTTAAACCATCTAATAAACCACTTAAACATCTTTCTACAGCGACGTATGACAAACCTATCAACTGTTTTTTGACCAGACCACACACTAGAAGTTGAAGGGACGACGACGTTTCGGTCCGTCCTGGACCATTCTCAAGTCGACTTGAGAATGGTCCAGGACGGACCGAAACGTCGTCGTCCCTTCACCTTCTAGTGTGTGGTCTGGTCAAAAATACTTCAGCCACGTTATTGTGACTCATCGCCTGCCTATCAACTGTTTTGTTTTTGTATGTCGTGTTTTTTTCCCCACAACAGAAACCAGGATTTGTGATCAAGAAACACTTGAGGTCGGACCAACTGTGCTATTGCAAGGAGCCCTGGGAGCCCTACGTCACGCCCCCCGGAGGATACAACAGCACCAGCTTCACCACCACCACCACTAAGGTCATCTCATCTCGCACTGAGTCCAGCTTCTATTATGAATTCTTTAGCAAGTCCCAGAAGGCATTTAATCCTGTTTAAAATTAAATAACAGCGCATAAACACGTACACACACAACATAGACCATGACATAACACAAAGAACATATCAACACAAAGAACATATATCAACACAAAGAACATATATCAACACAAAGAACATATCAACACAAAGAACATATATCAACACAAAGAACATATATCAACATAAAGAACATATATCAACACAAAGAACATATCAACACAAAGAACATTACAACAAAGAACATGTCAACAAAGAGAACATGACAACACACAAAACATATAACAACTTGCTAACAATCTCAACTCTAGGCAACATCTATGGTAAATGTTAAAAAAAAATTGTAAATGGGCACCAGAAATACCTCGTTGTAAATGAGCTCCAGGAAAATGTCATATTAAGTGAAGCCCGGAAAACCTCTTTGTAAATGAGCTCCAGGAAAATGTCATATTAAGTGAAGCCCGGAAAACCTCTTTGTAAATGAGCTCCAGGAAAATGTCATATTAAGTGAAGCCCGGAAAACCTCTTTGTAAATGAGCACTAGACAACTGGTTTGATAAATAATTACGACTCTCTGTGCCTATGTTAATATAATTTGCGAGTCAATCAAGTAGTGAGCGCTTATGGTGTCGTTTGTCAGACATCATCAGCTAATGTCCTGATCATTTTTATCTCATTTATAATAATGTAGTAATAATCTTCTTGATCCATAAGGTATTGTAATGTAATTATTGAATTGTGATGTGAGAGAAGCATTAAATGGCAATTCTACGCTATTAAACCATACCTGAGGTGCTTAAACTGACTGATCGTCGCTTAATTAAACTTAAGAAAATGTTATAGTTACAGAAATAGTTTTTGATTGGCATAGATACGATCTAATCATCGATCACCTGTTTACAAGTTGCATTTGAGTGATTGATGAGTATCGTTCAAATGATAAAATTATTAAAACAAAAATGCCTCTTGATTTTCCTGAAGATATTCATCCCCCATCATGAATTTTGTCCAATAACTTTAGGTAAGACTGTGGACAGTCTTACCTAATCCAGAATTAGCTGCGAGTGGTCCTGTCAAGATCTGAGTTGCGTGATATTTCTCCCTAGTACATACCTAGTTTCATACCGTATTTGGTTGTATATCAGTGGAGTTTTTGGTCTAGTTTTTTGAAAGGACGGTATATATGGTATACCTCCGAGGGTTAGTAATCAGTTGGGCTTTATCTAGGGAAATAAATTTTGCCAAAATAGTTCCCCCCAAAAGTGCTATGCATGTGATCCACAGAATTTTGAGGGAGGAGAGGGGGGGTGGTATTTGTTACTGTAAGGTGTATTGGGCGGTGTGAGAGCGGCAGCGAAGTTCTGCTAACCTCTCGCTAACAAATCTGCAGATTTAGAAGTCTAACCGATTCAGAGGGTTGACTCCGTGGGCTTGGAGTTTTCCGATGCTACGACTGGTCTGTCGTGGAGGTGGCGCTCCTGGACGTGTTGAAAGTGGATCTGGCTTCCGTCTATGGTCTTGAGAAGGTCTCAGACCGGCGGGTGGTGATTAAGTTTACCTCTCCTGCTCCCTATCAGCGGGAGAGATTATTATTATTATTATTATTAATATTATTATTATTATAATTATTATTATTATTATTATTATTATTATTATTATTATTATTATTATTATTATTATTATTATTATTATTATTATTATTATTATTATTATTATGATTATTATTATTTTTATATTACTGTGGGGGGTTTTAACACGTGGCTTGTGTATGGTGTCTTGACATAGACAAGAATTAAGACATAAGCCTAGATACAAGTTGAGACTTCCGCAAGTCCAGAATACTGGACAAAACATGTGTTAGCGTCGTAATGGAGATTTTGGTATTTTGTGGGAATTTCTCACGAAATATCATTATTATCTTTATTTTATTAAGATCTGTATAAAAGCTCCCATCTTTATTATCTCAAGTTTAGGTTTCACCAATTTGTTTTATATTTGTTACAGCAATTTGTTACTAAATTAGGTTAAATGAAACTATACATTTTATGTCATAAATATTCATTATTTTACATCATATAAAACAGTGAAATGTGTCTATAAAAGGTACAATATATCAGATACGTCTTGAGAGAGCATCTCGGGCCGGCATGACTAGTTTAACACTTAGGAAACTAAAGAGTATTGTGAAGCACAGAACGGCCAGAGAGGGAAGTACGTCTATGACAAGATTGACTCAAGGATTCGAACGGGTATCTTTAATGACACCCGTTCCTTTTCGTTCATGTTACCTCTGATATTATCGAGATCGGACACATGTCATGTTGGGTGAGATTCTGATATTACCGAGAGTGTACTCAGATCACGTGTTTAGATTCAAATTCTCAAATTCAAAATACAATGTAATTCAAGAAAATGCCTATTTACCAAATCGCCAAACCCAGGGCAGAACAATATCGCTTGGCAATTTGTCAAACAGTTGAAAAAAGATATATCTGTGGAATAAATGTTTACATTTCAAACTTATTAACAGAAAGGCAAGTCCTTCTCTTGACACAAGAGTTTGGACTTGAACCTAGAGTAAGTTCTACACGAGAGCTTTACTGACCAACTCGTGTTTGCAACACAATCTGGGCACCGAGTCGTTCCGAACAACAGATCTACCTTGTCATCTCAAACAATGAAATCTGGGCTAACTTGACAAATGTTCTCACTAAAATTATCTCAAATATGTTATGCAAACACTGCATAATTAACACAACACTCAGGCTATTGTTCGTCTCCTTACATCACATTAAGTTGGATGTGTTTTGAGTGACAGTTGTTTTTGCAGATATTAGCAGACAACAGAAGAGAAGAAATAATATTTCATCCATTTCAACACGTGCATCTGTACAAACCTGAGCACGCGGCACGCTCGTAAACACCTGTACAAGCCTGAGCATGTGCCACCTATTCAAGCCTGAGCTAGTACGACCTGTACAAGCCTGAGCATGTGCCACCTATTCAAGCCTGAGCTAGTACGACCTGTACAAGCCTGAGCTATTACCACCTGGGCCTCATAGCCTTTGTATTAGCTTCACGAAACTGCGCATTGTGTCGTTTGCACCAAAAAAATAATTTATGTACAAGAAATCACAGATAAATATATACACAGATTCGTTATGGTCGACTTCAATTAAACAAAAACTTTTTTTCTGAATTCAAGTGGTTGTAGAGTATTTTTTCGTTCGCTCAGACAACTGCAGCGAACGAAACTGCAGCAGGCCAGCTTCAACAATTGAAGCAGGCCAGCTTCAACAATTGAAGCAGGCCAGCTTCAACAATTGAAGCAGGCCAGCTTCAACAACTGCCGCAGGCCAGCTTCAACGACTGCAGCAGGCCAGCTTCAACGACTGCAGCAGGCCAGCTTCAACAACTGCAGCAGGCCAGCTTCAACAACTGCAGCAGGCCAGCTTCAACGACTGCAGCAGGCCAGCTTCAACAACTGCAGCAGGCCAGCTTCAACAACTGCAGCAGGCCAGCTTCAACAACTGCAGCAGGCCAGCTTCAACAACTGCAGCAGGCCAGCTTCAACAACTGCAGCAGGCCAGCTTCAACAACTGCAGCAGGCCAGCTTCAACAACTGCAGCAGGCCAGCTTCAACAACTGCAGCAGGCCAGCTTCAACAACTGCAGCAGGCCAGCTTCAGCAACTCAACCAAACCAACTTTAAGAGTTATATCTCGAGATACTGTTCCGGAAGCTCTAAATGACTCACAAGTTGATTTCACAAATGATCAGTGTAATTTTCAATTCCAGTTGATAGCTGAAGAGGTCCAGTTGAATGATGAACTGCCGCTCGCGTTAACACCTCCGGCGTGCCGGAGTGATGTTGAGCACCTCATGGTGTGGTCTACTCACATCATAACTCTGATGTGACGCCATGCTGCTTCAAGAAAATTTCAATCTTTCTATTAGCGTGGGACTCTTTGATCGCGACTTTTCCTCGTCTGGTCGAAGCGTTGTACTTAATTTGGCTCTTGCATCTAAGAGTCGTTTTGAAACTCTCTTTACAAATGAATACGCAATCTTGTCTGCCGTTCTGAAGTGCAGCGCACGAAGGGATTTGTACCCTGGAAAAAAGGTAATATATAATTAATATTTGACATTACTTAGTGCATGTTTAGGGCATGCTAAATGCATATTATGTGCGTGTTATGTACATATTAAGAAAAAGTTTATTCATGATCGACAAAATGCATTTATCCATTTATTTAGACTACCTTGGCTAGTTCCTGTCTATGTTTTGATCTTTCTTCGGCTTGGAAAGCATTGTAGTAAGTTATAATTCAGTTTCTTCAAGTTGACCAGAGTTTTGCAACAAGAAATTAAATAGTTTTCCTGTGACGCTGATTAAAGTTTTTCAACTACTTATACAACTGATCTTCTGCACATAAAAGTACTCTACTACTCTACTACTGGTTTAATTCTCCTTCAAATTTCCGTATTCTAGGAGGGGTACCCGGTGTTGCTCGGGCCTGCCTGTCTGTCTCCCGTTTCTCTTTGTCTCTATCTCTGTCTACCTATCTTTATCACTATCTGTCTCAATCTCTACTTGTTTTTATATCTATCTAGCTATCAAGCTCCTCGTCCTCCCACCCTCACCACACCTGCGACACCCACTTAAGAAGCATTAAAACAAATGTACGAGTTTCAAATGTTTTGATTTTCCTTTCTTTTCCTTTTTTCTTTCATCTTTCAGTAACAACATTATGTTAGTCACCATATTTCGTCACCTTATTCCTTGAAAGTGGCCTTTGGGTATTTATAATGGCTAACATTTCTTAAAGCATTTAATTTAGGTTGGTAGAGGTAGACCTATGTCCGTCACCTACCCGAGAGCATTCCTCGTGCAAAAATGAGTGAAACTAGCCCTTAGCGTCTGGCCTCCAATGTTAAACAATCATTTTCTCTTATAAGTACAGAAGATATATATATTTTTACAAATACTATGTTACAACATTAAATTTAAGTTTTAACGGTTCAAAGTTTAAAGTCGTGAATATAAAAAAAATAAAACATCCTGACACCAGCAAAATTTCGCAACGGTCGATATATCAGTAGACACCTGGGCCAAGATTCCTCAAACATTTACACTTCCACTTACAAAACCTGTGCATCTGTCAACAATCATGGCGGCGTTGTTTAAATTTATTAAAAGAACTAACAAGCATTGAAACTTCACAATCCCAGCATATTATTGGAATAAACAACCTTGAAGCTATTCGCAGCTCACAAACTGTTTATAAAACGTAAACAAAGCCGGTATGCTTAAGTAATGATGCTGAGGCTTCTCAAGCTGATGTGTATAGATGCTTGACGCTTCCTGGCCTAGAGCAGGACATAAAATGATTACATGAGGCATTTCAGCGCTTCAAGTACAAGCCAAACACACACACACACACATATGCAGTATCATGACACATCAGGTATGAGTACATGAACATCACGGACCAGCTATAGCCTACCTATGTCGAGTCCCGGGGTGGTCATCTTGAAGTAAGTGTTGGAGACTGTATGGACTTGAGAGGAGTCAACACAGGGGAGGTTGGCCAGAGGGACCAAGGCTTCCCCTATGAAGGTGTTGGAGCGACCTAGGTTGTAATCTTTGAGTGTAAACAATATGAACCCTGCGCGGACACCGTCATCGTTCTTACTCATATCACTGGAAAGAAAGAAAAAGGGATTTTAGCCTATACTGGCTTAAGTACAGGTTCATAAAACAATTATTTAAAGTAGTTTTTGGTGTTGGGATTAAGGATTATGTCAATTGCAGGAGACTTATTAAGTTCGTATCTCTAGTTTGCTGACCTATCAACAAGTATACTTTAATCCTGAACACAGTCCAAGACTAAAGTAAATTCAGTATTATATATATATATATATATATATATATATATATATATATATATATATATATATATATATATATATATATATATATATGATCACAGCCCTTGTGGATTTATTCCTTTGATATATCATGCTATTGTGATTTCTGTGTGTAATCTTATTGCTTAATATATATATGCTATCTTAGGCGTAATATAGCACATGTATGTAATATATCAGAAATGTTTAAGGATGAATTTTTGTATATTTTGTCATGCCCTCTGCAAAATTAGTAGTAAAAAAGTGGACATGGTTGGCTGCAACAGTGCAGTTTTGTACGTTCTACCAAACAATTGTTGTTAAGTAATATCAGTTTAGGAGAATGGGCTGCGAGGAAAAGGCAAATCCTGAATTGTCGCTGCGAAAACACTCACAACTCAAAGGTTTCCTCGTATACGGCTGGGTCTTGCTTGCGCTGTATCTTGGTCTTGTATATGGAGGCAGCCGGGAACCATTCCTGGGGCACCAGCTGCACTTTAACGTACGAGTCCACAGGCTGGTTGTGGAACCCAGCCTGGCCCCCGCCGCGAGAGCTCACACTACCAGCGTCGCTCTCAACCACGATGTCCCGAGCCATGATCACCTCAACGATCAGCTTCCCGGGACGAGTGAAAAGCATCTATAAGAGAGAGAGAGAAAGAAAAACTATCATTCACGCACACACAGCGCCCTCTCCTGTGCCAGGTAAGTCCACTACGGGCTCACCATAGCCCGTGCTACTTGGAACTTGTTCCGAGTAGCTGAATCTATAACAACAACAACAACTATCATTTATATGCCCGTACCACCTCTTGGGTGGCTTAATTATAATCTTCATCAATAAATCACCTCTATTATAAAACACATTCGATATATAAATATGAAAGTGTCAGACCACGGAGGAAGAATTGAAACAGGAATTTTCTTAAGTACTTTCGTATTTAATAATACATCTTCAGAAGGGCGACGCTTCCTACCCTTCTGAAGATGTATTATTAAATACGAAATTACTTAGAGAAATTCATGTTTCAATTCTTCCTCCGTGGTCTGACACTGTCACATTTTTCATCACGTGTTAACTTTCGTGATTTACACACATATATAAATATATATATTTACAAAATCTGGTTCCATTAAAATCACTAGCATGTATTCAACACCGTTTACGAAAATAAGATTTCCACTACACATGATTCTCGTTTTAAAACGAGGCTTCGTAGCTAGTGCAAGCTTACCTTCGCAACAAGCTGGGCTTTAGATGGAAGAATGTCCTCAACCTGTTCGTCATAACGCTCCTGGTAATATTTTGAGATTAGCGCCTCTGTGGACATTCTCAGACATTCCAGCAGCTCAATGAGAGAAGTGTATTCTGAGAAAGAGAATTTTTTTATCACATACAATATGAATGTTAATTTGTTACGGTTATCTCAGAAAAGTTAAAGTACTTGGATAGTAAATATATTTCAATTTTAAGAGAGAGAGAGAGAGAGAGAGAGAGAGAGAGAGAGAGAGAGAGAGAGAGAGAGAGAGAGAGAGAGAGAGAGAGAGAGAGAGAGAGAGAGAGAGAGAGAGAGAGAGAGAGAAAGAGAGAGAGAGAGAGAGAGAGGGGGGGGGGGCAGGAGGGAAGGAATTATCAGAGGAAAGCGCCAAGCCACTTCGACTATATAGCACCAGAGAGAGAGAGAGGGAAAATGTACTCGTTTGATTACTTATTAAATTAAAGATAAAGCGCTCACCAGGAGTCTGAGCTGTGACTTCGTCTAGACCGACTCCATCGTTTGGTGTGAAGAAGTTCAGCGTCGCTTGTACGATGCTGTGTACACCACCAAAGTAATTAGCTCTTCTTCTCTGAAAAAGACGATAACTTTATAAATCTTCATCTGTAACTTGGAATAAAATATTAAGAAACAGCAACAATATACGGATCACGTCCATGACACAAACCACATACAGGGTGTTCACATGCACCTCAACAGCTTCGAATCATAAAACTGCGCATTTGAGGTGATGCTGCATGACAGACTAGAGTATAGGTTGGAGAAGCATGCATAAGTTGCAGGGAACGTGCTCCAGTATATAAGTGTGTATTGAAGCACCAGAGGACAGCGAGTCACTGTGAGAAGTGAGACCTCAGAGTGGCGAGATGTCACGAGCGGTCTCATGGGGCTCCTTACTTCTTCCTGATATATGCAAATGATCTTCAAGGGGGTGAATAGAATCCTTCTTCTAGCCCTTGTTTATGACGGAAAAGTTATAGGGAGGATTAAAATGAAGTAGGGGAGTAAGAGACTACAAAATGACCTGGACAAACTGAATGAATAGTTCAACAAATGACTACTGGAGTTTAACTTCCATCGCTGGAAGACAGACAAGTTAACGGAGGTATGAATACTACTTTCAAAATTCTCAGTGGAATTAATAGGACAGATACGGTAGACTATTTAGCAGGAGTGGTACACGAATAAGAAGGTACAAGTGAAAACTGAGAACATAAATGAGCCAGAAAACAAGATATTATACACAATTTTGTTAATGTCAAAGTTATGAACAATTGGAAAGTATTAAGAAGTGAGGTGGTGGAAGGAGACTCTATACAGTTTCAAATCTAGTTCAAGATATGATGGAAACTACAATAGGCTCAGGAACCTATATACTACATAATTGAAAGTAAAGAGGCGGCACCAAGGAGCCGAAGCTCAACACTGGCGAGCAAAATTAGGCGAGTACAATCTGCTGTGATTCGAAACAGCATGTGAACACTCTGAAAAGCTTCTGAATGAATGGACAGTCTTATAAAAATCTTACCTCAGTATTTCGCCTAACAATGGAATTGAAGATGTCAATAATGACTTCCCACACACGCCACAAGAACCTGTGGAAGTTAGAGGTGTGGAGGTGTTTACGCAGGAGTTCCATGGCTGGGTTAAGAACTTCCCCTAAGAACAAGAACTCATCTTGGGCTTCACAGGCGTCATTCGCTGCCTTCTCAAGTGTCGGTCTCATCTGTTGGAGGAAAGAATGTTATGAGCATCTAGTACAGGAAGGGTGACTATCAAAGTGCTAATATAACTAGTGTGGTTATAAGTCGTCCAAGAGTTGGGTTATGAGGACGGACTAAGAGGGAGGGAACTGTCAGGGGAAAGCGCCAAGCCATTACGACTATATAGCACTGGGAAGGGATCATGATAAGGATTTGGATTGGTACGAGGCGGGGGAAAGGAATAAGGGTTAGGATATGATGATAGGTTAAGTACCTGAACACAATGACTGGCTAAAAGAACGGTGCCCAACCACTTGCGACACCTCTAAATGAATGGTATTAAAAAAACTCTGCTGTTGTTGCTGTGATTTAAGAGTATTTTAAATGTTTGATAATTTTTACTGAAATTTACGGATACAATTATATATAGTAGGCTGAAGTGCTTAACACGGCTAAATTAGCCGAGCGCGATGAACGAAAATTTCGGAACAGCCTATTTCACTCTCAAACACACTGAGCGAAAAAAATAGAGGCCACAATATATTTCTAGAATCGTTGCACAATGTGACATGCTGATTTTCTTTTCCATCAGATGAAAATTTTCGACAACTGAACCTAACAATCACTCATACTTAAGACAAATTAAAACTTCCAATTAAAGTGTCGCCAAGCTCACGTTAATTACTTACCTTGTCTATCACAGTTTCAATAAACTCGTTGACTTTGGCTTCCATATTCTCTGCGGCGCTGAATATCAGCCTCTCAACGGTAGCCTCCAGTTGGGCAGCGGCTCCGTTACCACTCCCTGAGCTCCTAATCTCCTCCAGCTGAGCATCGAACCCGAAGTGTCCTGGGAGTCCCGTGAGCTCCTGTCGCACTCTCTCGATGTTGTTGAGCCCCACACAAATCTGGGCGATGAGTGACGTTTGTGTTACAATAGAGTATAAAGGAAACCATATTAACTGTTCAGCAACAAGCGAGCCAGCGTTCAGTAAAAGCTTGCTTTGCTACGGTGTTCTATAATTGTTTAAGATACATTAAATTAAAAAAATCAATGGCAGCTATTTCGAACACTTCAGAAATGTTATGATCCTCAACACATATTGAAAGGTTAAGGAGCTGTTGATGAAGACACAAGAGTGACATTGTACCTGACTGGTGAAGAAGACGCGACTGGAATTATCTTGTCTGAAGAGCATGGTGTCAACTTTATTCCTGAGGAGGTCTGAGTAGGTGGTCCCGCAGGAGCAGATGTCTTCCAAGATCTTGGCCAGTAACACGGCGCTGTTCTCTGGGTCGGGCCAGGCCAGCTTCAACCACCAGATTTTTACCTGGGTAATGAAAATGTTAGAAAAATTACCTCTGCCATATTTTTCACTTTTAAGGGGGTGGGGAAGGTAGGGATGGATGTTGAGCGAGGCCGCTTACAAAGATTGCCATAAAACCTCAATATGGAACATGTAATCGTTGCAACTCACATCGTGGAATATTCCAATGGTATCAGTTGCAGAGGAGCTGAAGTTACAGAATGCATCGACGGGCTCGAAGCAATCTAGGTCGACGGCTTTTCTGATCATATCCTGAGCGCGAGAGATGGCCAGCTCCAGCCACCTCATCACCCCGCGGGAGAACCACCGGTGGTACTCACGCACCCCGGACTCACTACGAGCCTCAGCTGGAAGTGACTCGCCCAACCTGTGAGTAAGGAAAGCGAGACAAAAAATAACATTACACTTTCTTAAGGGAAACGAACGAGCCTAATCAATATATACACATCAGCTGACAGCAATGTTAACTGCAATAGATAAAATATTTACACATGTGGAGTATACCATAAAATGAAGATCATTCATTTATCAAAGAACACGCGTATGTTAGATCTTAATAATAGGCTTCACCTATCAACAAGTATTGCTATCAGCATCTGTCAGTCTAGAGCGATCCCACATCTATTATTTCACACAATTCCTGTCTACGGTAGATAGATATCATCGTCATACTGACGCAATTTACCAATATACGAGATGGAGAAGTAGCCAATAGAAAAGGACGCCCATGTGTGCCTGTGTGAGAAAACTGAATCAATTCTAAATACATCAGAATGCCTAACTCACGTGTGTAGGTGGCTAAGATTCCTGTACAGCTGCCACAGGGACGTGCCCACCTCCAGGGCGTATTGGGCGTCATCAGCGTCTTCCCTCTGCTCGTTGAATAAGGGCATACGGTTGTAGATGTTCATGACTAAAGGCCGCACGCAGGGATTGACCTTCTTGCTCACCACAAGGTAGGTTGTCTGCATGTATGGGATGTTCATCTCCCTAGTGAGACACCCGTGTTAGTTTTCACATTTAAATGAATAAATAATAAACTAATCTGCATATAATATAGGCCTTCAAAACATTATGATATATCTATATATCTATTATATATATATATATATATATATATATATATATATATATATATATATATATATATATATATATATATATATATATATATATATATATATATATATATATATATATGCATCCTTATTCTGTCTCCCACTTCCAAGGGAGATATAAATGAGTATAATGAAAGGTTATATATACATATTTAATAATATAATATCAATATTCCATAAAAAGACACAAATGACACAATAAAGAAGAAATGAAACAGTTGTCTCACTTTAAGAAAATGCTATTGTAGAATTTGTCAGCGTAGGTGAGGAAGGTGTTGGACTCATCGACGATGTTGATGACTCTTGAGATCTGCTCATCAGCTGTTCTAACTCCTCTCAGCTGTTCCTCGATCATCGCTGTCCACCTGTCACCACCCACATGTAACACATCAGTATGAAGCTATGTTGTGTCACGTGATAGAGGGATCTATAGGCTCCATGAACTTTCTTTACTGAAGTTTATTTAGTAGTTATAGAAAAAAAAAACATTCTATGCAAAGCGAGGCCTTAAAAAACTCTTAAAATAATGCAACTTTTGAATAATGCATTTTTTTGTATTTTATAATGGATTCTTATACATTAAAAAGAAGTTTGTATCAAGTTAAAACATTATTGGAAACGCAATGGTACTAATTTAAAGTTGACAAAATGAATGTGCAAAGTAAATTTAATATTGTCTTAAAAGGTTTGACAAATATAAAACTGGTAATTAATATTTTCTACACATACTAGCAGCTTACACACACACACACACACATTAAGAGAGCGTCAGTGCAGTGTGAGGCCAGATCACGTCGACTCACCAGTTCTTAGTATGCACAGCTAGGCTTGATGTGACAGTCTCGTGTAGGTAGGGAAGGCCTTCTTCAGCCAGTAGTACTTGGGTTTCATTGTGGTTCTGCATACTGTACAGGACCCTGAAAACATTGTCAGCACGTTAAATCCACATCAGGGTATAGACTTTTTGTAAGTTGGCTAGTTCGATATAGGGTTTAAGACCTATAAAAGTAGGGAGTATTAAAGGCAAGTATTATAAAAGTATTAAGGCCATCAAAGTAACTTAATGACCAGCGAGCAAGTATACTAAAGTCCTGGGCATAGTTCAGGACTAAAGTAAACTCTCAGTCAATATACAATGAGAAGAGGGGTGTACATTTCAATGTATACACGTCTGTCCTCTTTGTCTACGTGAAGCACTAATGAAAACAAAAACTTTAATTATACTTTTAGTATAAAAAGTGGCATATTATACCAAACTAATAAGGAGCAGAGTGTTTAAACTTTACAAATACATCATAACATCATCTAATGACGAACAAAATGCAATTATAACTATACAATACTTTACATATTACGAACACCACCTACTTTAGAGTGTAAGTGAGTTGGTGCTGCGCCAGAACACCAGAAGAGGGAGGAAATGCTGTGTGCAGAGTTTTAATCCGTTCGGCACTGGCGCGAACGAAGCTGGAGAGAGATGTCCGCAGCTCCCCCAAGTCTTCGTCTCGATAAGCACCCTTGGCCAGGGCGGCCTGCACGCGGTGGAGCTGAGAGAGGGTCCAGGCGGTGTCCACGGTGGCGATCCTGCTGCCCACGCACCACCACGACAACTGGAGAGCCGCGTCGTTCAGCCCTAACATTATGGCGAACTGCGCCAGGGCCGCCGCTGCGCTGCCGCTCACTCGCCCGTTCCAGGGCGGCGACCACTCGTCCTCCTGAAAGTGAATAAGACGTGTTACAAAACTCTGGAATACAGAATGCTAGTAAGTATATACCTTATATACTGTGTTTATTGGTTGGGTATATGGGCTTAAGGCCTATCAACCGCGGGAGGGATATTATGGCCACCACAATAGCTTAATGACCAACCATCAAGTTTACTTTAGTCCAAGACTAAAGTTAACTCTCTATATATATATTCACCGATACACCTGAAAGGTAAACATCGTGAATGGTTAATTATCATACACAGTTCTTTATATTCGTATCTTTATGCACAATCAGCATTTTCTGTTGAAACATTAACTTAAAAAAAATTCCTTATATTGCTAACAATTATTTTATATATTTTGAACAAATATATATTAATATTTGAATGCATTTATATATTCAGACTGTTTTGAAATGCAACAACTAAATTCAAAGACTAACATCAGTTTATTTTGGATTAAACATTTATGTAACAATGCAATTTGTATTTCTTGTTAAACAAACAAGAAATCCCCACCTGTTTGTTGTTTGCTTCTTCTATTAGTTGATGATGAACAAGACGAGCCAGCAGGGAATCGTATGACTGTCGATTTTTGTTCTCGAGGTGTGCTGAAGAGGACAGGGATCCCACTAGAAGTATGCTGCCTCTCTCCTTGGACTCCTCTACCTCACTCTTCTTCTCCAGGGGATGCCACCCATTGAGGCCGCGCTCACTCACGTCCTGCCACACACAGTACAAGCTTGGGTCAGTTTCCCGTCCATGGGGACATATGAAGTCCATTCAACTTATCGAAGTTCTCCCCACGTTAACAATTATCCGGTCCCTCCTATATATGTTTTCAACAGGAACATGTTTTCCACGTATTATTATTATTAACATCTTTATTGACAAAATTAATTACAATTTTGCCTAATCTTAGGATTTCAATTAAGTCTTATTAAAGTGAGGATAATGCTGGTATTCACTGTCACACAGGACAGAGAGTCATACACAAGACAATAGGTCTAAACTGTAGGCTGAAGCACGTATATATCGTGGTTGCAATCAATATTTTAGTGTATGAATATGTAAAAACAACTTTCTATTGTGCACTGCCACACAAGGGCAGGGATGGGTTCATAAGTGATGCAGCTTAGAAGTAATATAAATTAAAAAAATCTTAATTCTTTAAAATGGACAAGCAAATTTTGGATAAATTGTTAGGATGTCGTCCAAAACACCTGAGTCAATGAAACAGTTCAATAGGCCAGGAGGTCTAAAGTCTTTTACGGTTTCAATTCAACAATATAGTGTTCTAGTGCTCACAAAACGGAAGATATAGTCCTGAAAGACATTAAAGTTAGAAACGTGACCCCTTTACCGACATCAGGCAGAAGGTTTAGCTAATAATATACTATATGTGCAAGAAGACCACCAATTTGCTAAAGAAAACTTCTCGAAACACGAAACGAAACGCCTTGAAAGAGACGAATGGCGTCTGTGCTTTCACATATCCATTTGGGGACTATCAGCCGCAACGATCTCAGCATATAGGCAAGACAACATCATCTCTTTCAAGGCGTCTGGCAATGCACCAACAACAAAGCCCAATCAAGGAACATGTATCAGCACACAATCAGATCATCACCAGAGATTTCCTGAAAAACCAAACTGAAATAATCGACAATAAAAGACTGGACATTGGCGAGACATTGCACATCAAACAAACACAACCAACTATCAACAGCCAGCAAACACCATGTTGCAATTTGCCATCTTCGAGACCACGAGTGGACATCCAACATACTACTCCAGCCGTCATTGAAACATACGAGATGGTTAGGCTGCAGTGGGCCCAGTGGCCCATGTGCCACTTCACCTCACTCTCGGTTATATATCCGGGTGCTCCAGCCAAATTTAATCTTACGGGCTATTCATGCCCGTGCCACCTCAAGGGTGGCTTAATCTTTATTAATCAATCAAATTTAATCCCATTATACCTTTGGCAATGTTGACATGGTCAACGAAACACATCTCTTAACATCAGGCCATAATAAAATTGTATAATGAGGTTTGGAGAGTTAATTTTTCGACTTCCTTCTCAAGTGATGAAAAATATAAGAACCATAGAAAAGATTCGTGCTAGAATCATTAATCTCACCCTCTGTCATATTCAGTAACATACAAATATAATTGTTTTGAGTTAAACTGCAATATTTGACGCAGAAGAAGAGATAGCTTGCCCTTCCCATCGTGTGTGACTAACCTTGACATTGAAGGTGACTTGGCCCAGAAGGTGAGCTGCTTGGTGTTGGGCTTGAGCTGTCGTGCCCCGGACCAGCCGACTGAGGCCCTTGATGTCCCGCACAGCTGTCAGCTGCTTCACCCCCAGAGCGTCATGCTCGTGCCTGTATATCACACACAAACAATTAGCGGCATACGACCTGTGTTGACGAGTCTGAATGCAACTGAAAATCACACACTCTTCATATTTTTATTAGATTTATGCTTATTTTTACATTTAAAATAGTTGTATGGTCAATCCTTGCGGTTTGACATTACACGAAATAACCACAAAGTTTTCACGTTAGTAAACGCCGGTGTTACAAACGTACAAATAACGTTGTGTTTACACACAGAAATCACAATTGCGTGATGCATCAAATGAACAAATCCACAAGGGCCGTGACGAGGATTCGAACCTGCGTCTGAGAGCATCCCAGACGCTGCCTACAGATCCAGTAAGTTCAGTAGAACTTCGGTTTCAACTCCTTTTACCATGTCGTAGCTGAGTCGATTAAGGCAGCGCCTGGGATGCTCTCGGACGCAGGTTCGAATCCTCGTCACGGCCCTTGTGGATTTGTTATCATTGTGTTTGCTGATATATATAAATAACGAACACCTGCATTACGTTGGGCAGGTGAGCTCATACAGTAAAATGTTTATTCAAGAGTTTTATTTATTTATGTTATTCCTAACTTTGTGTTGCGGGGTGACAGGTGTTTGGGGTGACAGGTGTTTGGGGTGACAGGTGTTTGGGGTGACAGGTGTTTGGGGTGACAGGTGTTTGGGGTGACAGGTGTTTGGGGTGACAGGTGTTTGGGGTGACAGGTGTTTGGGGTGACAGGTGTTTGGGGTGACAGGTGTTTGGGGGTGTGTTGACCAGTACTCACCAGACTTCCACTTGAAGGACGTCCTTCTGGAGATTGTTTACACGTCTGAAATACAAAGAGTTAAATAGTTATTATCAAATCTGTGTTTCCGAATTGTTGTGATGATATATGATGATATACGATGATGCATGATGGTGTACGATGCTGAGTATTGAGTAATGATGCACATTGATAACTGACGAATGATGATAATTCACAATGAAGACTGGTTAATGATGATGGACAATGATGCAGTTATAATGACTAAGAAGAATATACTAATCATATTATCAGTCATGATTACTTTTGGATTCTGGGCATTAGAAAACGGGTATTTTATAAGTAGGTATCACTAGTAGAGAATAGCCAGGTATAGGATCAATGGTATTACTCACAAGGTGAAATCCTGATTCCATTTGGGATTAAGAGTATCCTTCTCAAGCCTCGTCCGGTGGGACTCGCCTGAATTAGGAATTCCCAAGGTCACGTAGGAGTTTGTTGTCCCTAGTGAATGGAAATAAATTATTAACTTTATTGTTTTAATTATAGAGATAAAAGTGATATATGACTTACGCACTGGCGATTAATTTGATAACACACACACACACACACACACACACACACACACACACACACACACACACACACACACACACACACACACACACACACACACACACACACACACAGGGCGCTGATAGCTGAGAGGAAAGCACGCTGGATATGTAGTCCTGTGGCCCGGGTTCGATTCCCGGCGCCGGCGGAAACAGATGGACAGAATTTCTTTCACCCTGATGCCCCTGTTACCTAGCAGTAAATAGGAACCTGGGTGTTAGACAGCTGTTACGGGCTGCTTCCTGGGGTGTGTGTGTATGTGTATGTGTTGAAAAATAAATAAATAAATAAATAAATAAATAAATAAATAAATAAATTAGTTAGTAGTTAGTAACAGTTGATTGATTGACAGTTGAGAGGCGGGCCAAAAGAGCAGTACTTTTTGTAACTCTGTGCACCATAGTACAAACATTAACGTATTAAGTAATTAGATAGTAGAATTTTGTACTATTCATTTTATAGAGTCCGACAAAAATTAAGCTAAAAACAAAAATAATCCTAGGCCTAGTATAGCACACAGATGTACTACATGAGGCCTCAGATATCGTGTATTAGGCTTAGGAAGGATAGGCTAGGATAATTTAGTATGTCTTTGCAACATAAGTAGAAAATCGCTTTCCGGTTTGTCTAAACTCAATAGTGCCGATTTCTACTTTCTAATTGCGTTGCATGTCAGTATATGTACTATGGTCCTCATTCTTCCCATAAGTACTACGAAAATAGGAGGATGGGCCGGTGTGTGTGTGTGTGTGTGTGTGTGTGTGTGTGTGTGTGTGTGTGTGTGTGTGTGTGTGTGTGTGTGTGTGTGTGTGTGTGTGTGTGTGTGTGTGTTGTAAATCACACATGTCTACATGATCCCGGCACGCGAGTCAAGAGGGGCCTCGAACACGGACTCGAAACATCTGTACTCCAGTACAACACAAGCAAGACGGGAAGAATCAACGAAAAATGTCCATACGCATGACCCAGTGACAGCTGAAGTGCCTCACACATACACTTGACAATGATAAATAATCATTTTACACTTGAAAGTGACATATCTGTCTCACCCTTGAGATTGACACACACACTTGACAATAATAAACAATAACTTACACTTGGCAATGACACATGATTCACTTTTGACATTGACACTCACAAACACACTTGACAAATAACATGCAATAACTCACACTTGACAATAACACATGACTCGCCTTTGACATTGACACTCACACTCACACTTGACAATGACAAACAATAACTCACACTTGACAGTGACACATGTCTCACCCATGACACTGATACACACACACACGACAAATGACAAACAATAACTCACACTTGACAGTGACACATGTCTCACCCATGACACTGATACACATACACACACGACAAATGACAAACAATAACTCACACTTGACAGTGACACATAATAACTCACCCTTGACAGTCTTTGGTCGGAGTTCCTTCGCCTCTTTCAAACTCAGGTGAAGAGTAACTTCAGGAGCCTACGGAAGGTCAAGTTCAATAAATTCGTCTCTTTACTTATAATGCATTATTATCCTTAATATAAACATTTCATAAACTAAAACAAATATAAATCACAGGAAACCCAACAAGTCCTGTTTCAGTAAACAATAAACAAGTAGTTAGCATATTTGTTTATTTAAATAGTGTGATGAGGAGTGTTGAGGTTCACAGAAGTTATAATTATTTTACTTAAAGATAATTATTTCATATCGTATTTCTTTTCCAACTTTATACTTGAATAAGTTAATCCTCTCTTGCGCCATACTGTTACCTAATTACTCTGATATATATGTACTACATGGAACATATTAGAGCGCTATGCTAACACATGACCAACCTATGTCAGCAAAAATGTCGAATAAAGCAGTCTCCGTGGTGTAGTGGTCGCCTGGCGTTCCGCGAGCGCTATGTCATGGGTTCGTATCCTGGCCGGGGAGGATTTACTGGGCGCAATTCCTTAACTGTAGCCTCTGTTTAACGCAACAGTAAAATGTGTACTTGGATGAAAAAACGATTCTTCGCGGCAGGGGATCGTATTCCAGGGACCATAGGATTAAGGACTTGCCCGAAACGCTACGCGTACTAGTGGCTGTACAAGAATGTAACAACTCTTGTATATATCTAAAAAAAAAAAAAAAAAAAAAAAAAAAAAAACACAGCAGCGGCATGTACTCTCTATAATGACGGTACAATTGATGTCAGCGCAACATCTGTTCCCACTTTACCCAGGTATTCATCTCGAGATGAATACTTCACTATAAATGGCACTGCTCAACCCCCGTATGACCTATACGAGTCGCCGCAGACACAGTTGTGGCACCAGCTTCCTGAGCTTCGAATAGCTCTCTTCTGAAATGCTGGGGCAGGATGTTTCGCCACTTCTGGTGACGTGGGTTTAGATGTCACTGAGTCTGCTGCCCACCGATGTTCCCGAGGCCCCGAGGAGGGGAAAACATTCGTGGTGCAGGATGATGGGAGACAAAAGTGGCGTGGTAAACAGACGCGACACATCCCCCCCACGCCCCCATCCTCCTTCCTCAAGTCATACCCCCGCCTTCCTCACGCCATACCCCCGCCTTCCTCACGCCATACCCCCGCCTTCCTCACGTCATACCCCCGCCTTCCTCACGCCATACCCCGCCTTCCTCACGTCATACCCCCTCCTTCCTCACGTCATACCCCCTCTTTCCTCACGTCATACCCCCGCCTTCCTCACGTCATACCCCCTCCTTCCTCACGTCATACCCCCTCTTTCCTCACGTCATACCCCCGCCTTCCTCACGTCATACCCCCTCTTTCCTCACGTCATACCCCCGCCTTCCTCACGTCATACCCCCGCCTTCCTCACGTCATACCCCCTCCTTCCTCACGTCATACCCCCGCCTTCCTCACGTCATACCCCCGCCTTCCTCACGTCATACCCCCGCCTTCCTCACGTCATACATGGCTCCACACACATCTACTGAAGTCTTCTATACCTGTCAACCTATACTCTATCCCGACACGCTTGGCTTCCTCTCCTCCCGTCCTCTACCTCCAACTAAATAACCCCCTATCCAATACGCATTCCAAATCTCACAGCTGCCTCCAAACAACACTGTACCCCTGGTCTCCTTGACCCCAGTCAACGACCCCACACACGCACACCTTCCAACCTCTACAGCTGACCGTCCTGCACTCAGCACACATACCTGACCTTTGCTGCTATTGCTCTCTCTCTCTCTCTCTCTCTCTCTCTCTCTCTCTCTCTCTCTCTCTCTCTCTCTCTCTCTCTCTCTCTCTCTACCGTCCAGCCACTTGGGTTGGACGGTAGAGCAACAGTCTCACATCATGCAGGTCGGCGTTCAATCCCCGATCATGCAAGTGGCCCAATTCCTCCCTTCCCCCCCCCCCCCGATCCCATCCCAAATCCTTATTCTAACCCCTTCCAAGTGCTATATAGCCGTAATGGCTTGGCGCTTTTTCCGTTCTCCCTCAATAGTCGTGGTCGACACTCACCTGTCTGCTTTGAACGTCTTGTAAGAGTCGATCCACGGTGTCCTGGTTCACCTGGAAGGCTGCTTGCAAGACCTGGAGAACCTGGTCCAGGGACACGCTTGTGCGGTTGGAAGTCCCTGAACCGATTTGGCCGCCGGCTGAAACAGCTGCAATGACCGCTGGGCCGCCCACCGCCCACACACCCCCGCCCGTGCCGCCCATTAGAGAGTGGACCGAGTACAGCACATCCGTCAGCAGCTCCTCGGCCTGTGGGGTGGTAGAAAGTAACTTGGTGAGAACTTATCCATGAGAGAGAGAGAGAGGAGAGAGAGAGAGAGAGAGAGAGAGAGAGAGAGAGAGAGAGAGAGAGAGAGAGAGAGAGAGAGAGAGAGAGAGAGAGAGAGAGAGAGAGAGAGAGAGAGAGAGAGAGAGAGAGAGAGAGAGAGAGAGAGAGAGAGAGAGAGAGAGAGAGAGAGAGAGAGAGAGAGAGAGAGAGAGAGAACAATAGAAGCAAAGGTAGAGAAGTATGTTTTCTTCTTCTTCTAAAGTCGGAAAGCATTATCACTGGGGACTTCCCGCTCTCTCCAGCACATGACTACTGGGTTTCCCAACATTGACTGTTGTTGTCGTGCGTGAACCTTAGTCCGTCCAGCCGCCGCAGAAAACGTTTCGCTGTATCCTGAACATATGTTGGGGGTAGGGGGGGGAGGGGTCACGACAACGTTCCAGTGTTTCTTGCAAGTGTTTGTTTATCTCTGTATACGTATGTTGTTGTGTTGTCAAGTATATCAATGAGTGTATTATTCGCTGTGTTTCTTGACGTTGCTGAATCTCCCTGAACCTCACGTTAGTGCTAAGAATTGGAAACTCTGTGAAACGTTTGTCTCAGAGTTGGTGTAAAGTGCTCTCTGAAACGGCCAGAGAGAACATGAAGTAGATTAAGATCATATTCTCATGTTCTCTCTGGCCGTCAGAACATGAAGTAGACGGGGAGCGGAGCAGAGTGAAGGGTCACCAGGGAGCCTCATTGACAGCCCCTACACAAAATGAGGTGCCCTTGGTCAGGGTCAACAATGAGAGCCACTATAGTGACCACCTTGTTAGTGCCCGCATCCCAGTCCAACGTCCCATAGCTTTCCTGGTTATCCTGCGTAACTACAAGACGTCCTCGTTGCTCTGGTCTTGTCTCGTGTTTAACATTGTCTAAATGTTATTTGTTGTTCGTCTTCGCTAAGTGGAAAAATTCCCCCCCTTACACAAGAATGTATTTGTTGCCGGGATATTGCATTAAATTTAAGAGGTATTCCTGAAGAAAATAAGGTAAATAATAATGTTAAAATAAATAATAACAATGATATCAAGAGTTTTTTTTATATTAAGGGCGTATTATAAAATTAATGACTTATATAAAGAGGGCACGACTCTAAGATTGTAAAAGACCTATCGCGGATGACACCTATAAATAGTTACGTAAAAAGATACGCAATATTTGCCCGAATGCGCATGAATTTCCATGCAACTGCGTTACGACAAGTACCTTGGTACATGATGAAACTAATGTAGATCTCATCGACTCCTTGCTCAAGTATTTTGTTTATTCATTTGTTTTATTCATATATACAGGAGTTCTTACATTCTTGTAAAGCCACAAAGACAAACTCTTCAGCACGGGTGGAGCACGAACAAGGGGACACAGGTGGAAACTTAGTACCCAGATGAGCCCCAGAGACGTTAGAAATATTTTTTTTCAGTGTCAGGGTAGTTAACAAATGGAATGCATTAAGTAGTTTTGATGACCAGACCACACACTAGAAATTGAAGGGACGACGACGTTTCGGTCCGTCCTGGACCATTCTCAAGTCGATTGAGAATCTCAAGAATCTCAAGAGTCTCAAGATCGACTTGAGAATGGTCCAGGACGGACCGAAACGTCGTCGTCCCTTCAATTTCTAGTGTGTGGTCTGGTCAACATACTTCAGCCACGTTATTGTGACTCATCGCCTGCATTAAGTAGTGTTGTGGTGGAGGCTGACTTCATACACAGTTTCAAATATAGATATGATAGAGCCCAATAGGCTCAGGAATCTGTACACCGGTTGATTGATAGTTGAGAGGCGGGACCAAAGAGCCAGAGCTCAACCCCCGCAAACACAACTAGGTGAGTATAACTAGGTGAGTACTAGCACGCACAGCGTTTCGAGCTGGTCATTAATCTTAATTGCCCCTGGAATACGACCCGTCAATACAACCCGTTGGTATCGTTGTACCAACCAGGTGACAGTCATTTGGCGTCACTGGAGTCACGAAGAGTAACTTACATCGTATGACTAGATAGTCTCAGGACCAAAGACGACAAAAACTTTGCCCAGGCAAAAAGAATAACGCAAGATTGAATTTCCGTTCGAAATATAATTGGAGAAATCCTAACACTTATGAAACACATGTCTGTGACGAGGAGTGCCTGGCTATGAATGACCTAGCTAGCTCTTCCATATATTTAATGGGGAGACAGTGCATGAAGTGCATTTGTTGGCGAACTAATAATTTTCAACAAGAATGATGTTTAGTCCAGTTGAATAATACCAAACCCCAACTTAAATAAAAGTGGATGTATAGCAAGTGGCTTCCTGATGATATGCAACGCTAAAGTACACTTTAAACCCCACAATAAGTGCGTATAACACCCATCAGAATATAATACAGTTCACTGTATTATCACAAGAGGAACATGCAGCCAATCCGAAGTGACTTGAAGAGACAAAAGTCAACATTTCACAACTTCATGATTATATTAACAAATGAGCAAAATTGAGAGCCACATAACAGCGTATAACAGCAGTCACGAGAGACGGGAATCACGCACTAATGAACAATTAACTCCACCATGCAGTTATGTTCCATCACCACTCTAACATGCAACCCTCATACGCGATCCTTTTATGCAACTGCCAAGTGAAGCCACAGTGGTGGTGATGGGGCAACAGTGGTGGTGATGGGGCAACAGTGGTGGTGATGGGGCAACAGTGGTGGTGATGGAGCAATAGTGGTGGTGATGGCGCAACAGTGGTGGTGATGGGGCAACAGTGGTGGTGATGGGGCAACAGTCGTGGTGATGGAGCAATAGTAGTGGTGATGGGGCAACAGTTGTGGTGATGGGGCAACAATAGTGGTGATGGGTAACAGTGATGGTGGTGGTGATGGGGCAAGAGTGGTGGTGATGGGGCAACAGTGGAGGTGGTGATGGGGCAACAGTGGTGGTGATGGGGCAACACTGGTACTGGTTGTTGTTGTGAGCGCGACAGTTATGGCAGTACAACATTGTACTGAGAAGGACGGGTGATACAGCCGGTGATGGAGGGCTGGCTGGCTGGCCTCTTGCAATCCCTACACTCATGTACAATAAGGCGTCTCTCAACCATTTGAAGGAATCAAGGCAATTCTGGGCCTTGCGACTCGTCGTGTAGATTCTGGCCCGATGATCTCTATCTTTCTCCCTGTCCCTCCCCCTCTCTCTACATCTTCCCCTCCCACTCTTCCTCCCTACATCTTCCCTTCTCCCTTCCTACATATTCCCCTTTCCCCTTTTCCTCCCTATATTTTCCCCTCTCCTCTCCTTCCTTCACTACTGCTCTTTCACTCGTTCCCGTTCTCTCCCGGTTTTTACTTAATATTTCTCACTCTATCTCCTGGGTCCCGCCTTTTATGTAGCTCCTTCCCAACCCCATTACATTAGAAGTTTGCATTGACATCGCCTCTACTTCTAGAAAGTGCAAGATAAAGTCAATGAACAATAATTGTTGCATTTATTACTAAACAATTCCAGATCTAGCTACTTGCCATATTTTATTTACTCAATGTCACGCTTTGGCTATAACATAGTGTATATTAAAATATTCATTTATCTATTCAATATAAAATATGGAAGGGAGTACCACCTTTGGCTGGAAGAAGGGGACTCTTAGCCTCTGAGGAAAGCACACACAACGCATTAGAAGGGATGTACTTCCCTCACCCCATCTACTGTCACTCTTGGTCCTTCTCTGCCACTCATCTCCCCCCCCCCTCTTCTATTTATCTATTCATATTTGAGGAAACAACGTCACTGGGTACACAACACGTCAAAATCAACGCGTTCGTCTTTGAGGCCGGCATCATCCCGTTCGAGTCTTCAAATGCCTGCAGCAATTAACCCAGCGGGTTAGGTGGTCAGGTTCTTTTGGCGATTTTATTTATATTTGTCAACCCGTCCTTGACTCAGTCCATTACATCCAGCGGTCGACCCCACCGATGCATTCATTAATTTTAACATGCTGGTCATCCAAAAAAGGAATTTTCTCAAATATAAATTAATATTGTTATATATTAGCATATTGTGCATGGTTAGGCACTGGTTAGGTTAGGTGTTTAGGTTCTGTTGGTGATTATTTGTATTTGTTGTACGTGGGTGAAGCATTTACAGCGTTGTGGTTCGAACCATACTCGTCTGTGAAGCACTTGTTCCGGAAGTGTTCGAACGAAATCAGTTGTGAGTCGTGAGTAAACCGTTTTCATTCATAAACAGGGGGTTTGGCGGGTGCATGGAATCACTTTTGGGTCTTTGTTTGGAGGAGGGGTTGACAAATACAGCCAGTCCTCTAAACAAAGATCTAAAAGTGATTTCATGCATCCGCCAAACCTCCTGTTTATGAATGAAAACAGTTTATACACGACTCACAACTGATTTCGTTCGAACACTTCCGGAACAAGGGCTTCACAGACGAGTTTTGTTCGAACCACAACGCTGTAAATGCTTCACCCACGTATTACAAATACAAATAATCGCCAACAGAACCTAAACACCTAACCTAACCTATGTCTATATATGCACAATATGCTAATATATTATAATAATAATTTATATTTGAGAAAATTCCCGTTTTGAATGAGCAGCATGTTAAAATTTATGAATGCGTCTGTGGGGTCGACCGCTGGATGTAATGGACTTGAGTCTAGGACGGGTTGTCTGATGAGTGCGACGGGAACATGTGTAAAGCGTCACTGACAATCTTGGCAACAAGGGCCGGGTGAGACCAATCGAGCATGTGATCTGTAACAGTGAGTTATGAACTGACTGGATATTGCCAAGTTTGCCAATGGTTGGCTTTGTGGTACGTTCGCTAGTATGTGTTATAACAGTGCTTTCGTTATTCGTGCTTTGTCTAGCAAAGATCCTTCAAGTGTATTATGGTGCAGTGAAGATTAAGCAAGAAACTGTGACATGGGAAATT